CCTGAAAGAAAGAAAAAATACAAATGAATTCACTGAAGGAGCACCCAGAGACCGGCGCCGTTGCCGACCATTGTTGCTGCAAGCCAGATCTTCCCCACCTCCCGCAATGAAGAAGACGCAGGATGAAGTTCATGGCCGGATCCCGAACACACCGAAAGCATGCAGTTTATCTACTGAACGCTCAGGCCAAACCTCGATTTCACCAGGATCAGACGTCGGTCGCCTCACCGGCCAACCCCAGCCGACAAGCAACTGACCCGCAAGGGGGATCGAACACCAACCCGTGCAAACGAGAAGGTGGAGAAGTAGCCTCACAAGGCAATTCCACTCGACGCCGCAGCCATCAGAATCACCTTGAAGGGTCAAAACAATCCTCCAGGCTCCAGCAACCACGTCAGAGGGCTATGGTGCCAGTGTCGCCACTGACGATATGGGCACGGACGGTGTAGTGAAGCTCACAGAGGATACGAACACCAACGCAGAAGAAAACACCGAAGAAAACATCGCTGGTGCTGATCCCTCTGCATATAACACCATCATCGTGCACCACACATACAACGACAGCCACCCGGCCCCAACCACCTTCGACATAGAAGTCCGAAAGGAAACAAAAGAGTCCTGACAAGCATCCCACCGGGAACAAATCTAACCCTGACATTATTCTTGGGAAGAACAGGAACCAAGGTACAGAACCAAGCACGTCGATGATGTCGTCGCCAGAACCATCGACATCGCCCAATCCGCCTTGGGAGGAGAAGATCCACACCACAACCAAGCTGAAGAACTTTTCCTCAACGAGGAAAAACCCACAACAGACATGGATCGGAAGGAAAACTAACATAGCTCCTAAAAAACACATACTAGAGCTAAGTATATACACCCATACCTCAACTCTCCGGTTCCCCACACCTCCAGGGAGAAGAAGGCCACCGGAGGCGCAGGGAACCAGCAAGGATGAGCCGGATCGAAGGAACTCCTTTTCTGTCACTACAGTAGCGAGCGAAGGAGGAAGAAGACTCTGGAGAGGACAGGAGGCGACGCGGGTCTGCTTCCATAGGATACGAGATTGGTTGAGCACCCGAGCATTTGCTGTGGGCTTGGCCCATAACAACACAACGGCCAGCTGCCATGACATGGGCCCAAAGTGGAGCAATTCCTACAGAAACGGCCTGCATACAACCCCACAGAACGTCGACGGCCCCCATGGCCCCTTCTCCCTTCCCTTCCCCTGGCAGAAGGACGTGCGGACAGGACTAGCGTCCGGACATCCGCGTCTGCTGCGCCTGCCTGTGCCCCCGCATACGCATACCGCTGCGCTTGCCCGCACGCTTGCGCGCCGCTCCATTTTCCACGCCTGAACAAGCCCACGCGGGGGCCACGTCTCGATCTACGCCCGCAATGTTCCCCGCACCTGCCGCTCGCGCCCCCTCCACATCCACGTGCATGCACGTGGGCCCATCAGTTGCTGCAGGCGGCTACGGCAGATGGGTCCCACTGCAACATGTGCAACACCAGATCTACTTTGCAACATCTAGATGAAACACTTGCAACATACGTCCAAGACAATTTTCACATACGTCTGAAACACCAGAAAAACACGTGTGTAGCCAGTACAAAACATATGCTATGAAACACTTGCAACATATGTGTAAAGCATATGTAACATTCAGATGAAATATTTGCAACATATGTGAAACATATGCAACAGCTAGATAAACATTTGCAACATACGTGTATAGCAATGACAACATATGCAACATCCACGTGAAACACTTGCAACATGCATATGAAACACCTGAAACACTTGAAACATACGCTTGCAACATACACTTTCAACGCAATATCTTCTTGCTGCTTGGGCAAATCAAGGCTCGTCGACGCGGAGCTCGACGCCGACACGAAGCACGATGCCACGGAGGTCGCCAATGCAGAGCTCATCAGCGGCACAGAGCTCGCCGGCAACACGCGGCTCACTAATGCGGAGCTCATCAGCTTGCTGGCGATGAGCAGAGAGCGGGTGGGGTATGGCCGCGACACGCGTGAGGCGGGTGGCTGCGCAAGTTCAAGACAGGGAGGAGATGCACAAGCTCCACGACATCCTACTTCTCCCTGTTGCTTTGAAAGAAGAGACGGAGGAGAGAGATACGAGATGGAACCAGAGGGGATAATTTTAAATGGCCACCTAATAGATATTTGTGTGGTGGGTACAATACGTGGACAACGTGAGGTCACGTAGCGTCCGTTGTCCGGGCACGAGATGGATGCCCGCGGTGGAGCATTACCGCGGAAAAAAACTGTCAAACCCAACATCTCTAAAAAAAGAAAAAGAAAACAAAGGTATCGTGATTGCTATTGCTACGAGATTGATGAAAACTAAAAGTACAGTAGTACTAGGCCACAAACGCTCCCCAAATCCAACAAAGGTACATATGAACTGGAACATATGAACACATTGGGAGTACAATTTACCGGAAAAGTCAGTCTCCACTGGATCAATATTATAAATCATGGCTTCATAGGTATTGGCTACTATCTCAATACTTGTTTGCTGAACCTGTTTAACAGCAAAGCTTATGGACACCGTCTTCAATTTGACGCTGTAGGAATTCAACAAATTACCTCTCATCGATTTAGATGAAATGATGCTGGCTTCCAACCCCAACCTTTCATCACAGGGCTAGAGTTAACCTAAGTTATAGGGTTACTCCATTTCCCATTACAGTTTTAGAGCTACAAAACCCAGTTTCATCGAAATAGATGAGATAATGCTGGTTTCCAACCTTAACCTTTCACCACAGGGCTAGAGTTAACCTTTTTCTAACCTAAGCTATAGCATTACTCTTTTTCCCATCATTACAGTTTCAGAGCTACAAAACCCAGTTTCATCGATATATCAGGCTGTTGTATAACTTGCTCAAGGAACCAACTTTTACATTTTCAGTACAGGTCTTAGACACCACATGCTCATAAGCTTTGCTGCTAATAGGACAAGAAGACTATATGAGTTAATATCAATCTGTCCCTACAAGGCTACAACAGAATAATTCTTTTGCTTCCCAAAGTCCTCTAATAACAAAAATAATTCAATGGGAAATTCGCAAGATCTTTTTAGATGAGTAAGGAAAATCAAAGATGAAATTTGGATAAAAGTATGAGATTTTCCCAATGCCCATGGATATCTGGAATTGATTTTAAATTGCAATCTGTATGTCTGGTCAAAAACATCTTTTTTTTCCTTGAAAACTTCTGACCTATTAATCGCATTGGTAAATTCGTAGCATATTTCATCGAGAGCCCAAATGTTATTAACATCTATATCAACAAGGTCTTATCCTCCATGCTGCTATGTATAAAGGCAATAGCTATTCTTCACACGCCTATATTTTTTCATTTTTTTCAGGCGATGAACAGAAGCCATTGGATGATAATCTAACAACACTAGATCAGGTTGCACTGTTGTTCTCCAACCTGCGTCTCTTCTTCCAGTGGCCCCACACTCCCCCGCCTACCGCCAGCCTCCTCCCGTCACGAGTCTTCTTCGTTGCAGCATCCCTGCCACCGAGTCTGCCTCCGCTGCTCCACGCCGTGACTGAGCTAACCGGGTGGCGCCACCGCCCCCACCCCCGCCACCGCCCTAGCTCTTCCTGTCCAGATGTCCACAACAGCCCGCGACAGGAGGCTCTCGCTGCCTTGCTGCCCCACCATCGAACCACCAGTCCTCCCTTCCCCTCCAAAACCTCCTCTCTGAGACCGGTGAATCCATTTTCCCTTGGTACCCCGGAACCTTAAATCCCTAATCTCAGAACCTCAATTGGAAGCTATACATACACGTTCTTCTGTCGACTGAAATAGGAGATGCGTATTAACAAACTTTGCTTGCTTGTGGTTGTACATTGACTCTTATATTGCACTACAACTGTCTCGGTCCATGATTATCCGTCTCCTATCAATATAGTGTTGCTCATGAAGCTATGGTATGTAAATTTGCCCTCACAAGGTAACAATTCTGAGCTACAAAATGAAGGTACGGTAGCTGGTGGCATGGTCTAACAAGGGCTCTTGTACTGAAAGAGTACCAAGTTGGTACACTACACAAGATGGGTTGCCCTGCCCCCAAGGATTTTGGGAAAAATGGAATTTGATGAGGCTCAGGATTAAGTTCATTTACCACAAAATCAAAGCATTCACCAAATATGAGAAGCCACACTTATATTTTGTTATTAATCAAAGCGTCACTGCCATTCAATTCAAGTTGTTCAATGCAGCTCAATGGAATGCCTAGTCAAGGAAGCAGCTTCCCTGCCATGAAGCAAGCGAACTTGTTGCTCCGGGAGTACTCGTAGGGCACGCCGGCCACCGTGAGCAGGCGCTCCAGCGCCTCCTTGACCCGGTCAGGCTCCGCGGTCTCGCACTCGAGCTCGTAGCTGATCCCGAAGTCGAACCTCGTCTCGTCGAGCTCCAGTACGAGGCCGCCGCCACCGTCCTCGAGCTCGTAGTCGTAGACAGCGCGCGTGTTCCTGAAGCCGCCGAGGCAGATGAAGGGCGCGGCGTCCCCGCCGACGCCGTACTCGGCGGCGACGAGGCGGATGATGGGGGAGTCGAGGCCGCCTAGGCGGGCGGGGTCGTCGGCGCAGGCGAGGGCGAGCGCGGGGTCGAGTGGCTCCTCGATCTCCTCGACGCGGCTGACGCCGGCGTCGATCCGCGGGCGGCGCTTGAGCGCGAGGACAGCGCGCGAGGGGGCACGGTCGTCGGACCCGTCGTAGAGGCGGACGCGGAGAGCGGCGGTGGCGGCGGCGAGCGTGCGCGCGGAGGCGTCGAAGAAGAGGTTCCGCTGGGCGTGGGTGCGGCGGAGGCGGTGCGCGAGAAACGCGGACAGGCGGCGGTGCGCGGCGGCGTCGGGGAGGCGGAGCTTGATCTCAACCTCCATGGGGAGGATGGGGTGGTCGGGTGGCCGGGTCCGGGGCCGGCGGGGTGGAGAGGCCGATGCCGATGCGTTGCGCCTAGGAGGGCGCGGCGCCGGGCGGCGGGTGGAGGAGGTGGAGGAGGGGGTTGGAGGTCTGCGGGCCCGGGCCCGGGGACGGAGTGGTGTACCCGGCCGGATCCTTGATTGTGGCTGTTGGGGTGCTCCCCGCGGCGGCGTGGAGGTGCTCTTCGAGCTCGTAGCGGTCGTCGGAGCTGAGCTCGATGCGGGTAGGGTTGCGGCGCAGCATTGGCGGATATGATGAGATCGGGATGAAGGGCGGGGCACTGGTTGGTGGTAGACTGGTCCGATTTTTTTTTTGTTTTTTTAGCCATTTTCTCAAATATATTCCTGAAGGAATCTTTTCAACAAATAGACCATCACATGGGCGCCGTCGTTATTGGCATCTATCTTACACGTCTCGGCGTTAGAGTCTTTGGCACCTAGCTCTCAGGGCCACGGCGGCGTGGGGGGGCTGATCTGGCAGCTAGCATGACGCCATAGATCTTGGCGTCTAGCTTGGCGCCAAGGCCATTGGCGCCTAGCCAGCCCCCAGTCTCTATCATTTCATTCATTCTCCCTCCACTCGGCCTGACTCCCTCTCTCTCCCTCAGTCCGCCGCCGCCGCGCCTCTCGTGCACCACCGCGCCGCCTCCCCTCGGCCACCCGCGTCCTCAGCACCGACGACTCCGCCCCGCTTGTGACCGCCCCCACCCCCTGTTGCGTCGGCCGGACCACGACCGCGCCCCCTGTTGCGCCACCGTCCACAGGGACGGCCGCGGCCGGTCGCCCCCTACTGCACCAGCCGGCAAAGGGGCAACGGGGGCCGTGCCCAGGTGCCCGGGGCCTGGTGCCTGCCTCCCTTGACCGCACGGCCCTGCCTGCCTTGCCGCCATGGTGGCCGGCCAGGAGGGTGCCTTGGCGCACCAGGGGCACACGATAGCTTCTTCGCTGTCCGCCTCTGCCTCCTAACGACCGGCTCGTCTCCCATGCACCGGCTGCGCCTCCCCTGCAGTGAAGCAAAGTACATTAGTTTGTTAATTTTCTTCCTATTTGACAATAGTTAGTTAGTTAGTTAGTTAGTTAATGTGGTAGTGATTTAGATAGGTAGAAAGATATCTAGATAGATAGATTGATGGATGCTTTACATAGTTAGTTAGATAGTGTCGGGTTCATAAACATAGGGTCCCTCAGGGACCGGCTTTCGCGCCGGGGCTCGGCCCAAACAAGCAGCACACAACTCATGGGCCAGCCCGAGAGTCTAAAACAACAGGCCGGAAGGGCGGTCCAGTCACCGACCAGAAGGTTTGGACGAAGAGGAACGGCGCCCGCTCGTCAACTACTTCGACCCACCTCTCTGACCGGAGCGCTCGCTTCAGACTCCAGCCACCTCCGGATGGCCTCTCCAATCGGAAGGCCTGGCCCAAAGCCCTACTTCCAACTCTGACCCCGCGTCGCCGACCGGGGGGCACAGAAACCCTGCTCACCACTCTTCTTCGACTGGGGCGGCTAGAACCGACTGGGACCATCCGACTGGGGACGCCCGCTCGAAAGGAGCCAGGGGCGAACAGAGAAAGCAAGCCAGGGCGCATAAGTCAAACCACGATACCATGGACCATACCCTGTACACCTGCAGGAACAGTACTCTGCAACCACCCTAACACAAATAGTATTGTAGGCACTGACATTTTTCTCTATAATATTGTAGGCGCCGTTAAAACTCCCGTACGGTAAGGCCCTCCACGTGCCTCTCGATATCAATAGTGTTGTGGGCGCCGGGATTTACTGTATGGGGTCAACATGATGACACTCCTCACATGCCTCTAGGCATCAAACAATATCTACAGGTACCGACGTCTACCATTCCTGAAGAAGGCAAACACAACCTCCCACATGCATTTGACATTCTACAGTACATCAACAGTGTTGTAGGCACCTACCATTATCTTGTACCCGTCAGCATGAGCAACAAAGCTCAGTAGCATATATACCCTCACTTGTAAAGCCATTCCCTTTATCTATAAAAGGGGATGCGCTCCCTCCAACAAAGGAGAGGCTTTTTCTCTCCAAGGCCCCCTTTGAAGAGTCTTTCTCAGATTCATTAGGTCAACCAAGTTCTCTAGTCCACAACCACAGAACCGCCAGGTTCGGACCTCAAGCACACGCTTGAACACTTAGCTCATAGCGTAGCTCCAGTCGCTCTTGGCCCTTTCGACCGGAGCCGACCGAACCTCTTGTACACCCCATCTTTCTCCTTCTCGTTTGTAAACCCACTGCGAACTTCGAGCACCTGGGCTCAGGAATAAAGTCACTAATCGACCCAAACTGGACGTAGGGCACGTTGCCTGAACCAGTATAAACCCTGTGTCATTGAGTGCTAGGCCACATCCGATCACAACGTACGGCAAAACTATAAATATTTCCTAGTTGGCTGTAACACCTCGGTGTTAAGCATGCATTAGCATTTGGCAAATCATGAGCATAATCATTAATTTGCATGCATACGCATGATATGAAATATAGAATGGAAGCATACTTTTGAATCATGTATGTTGCATAGTTTTGTTTTGATAGATTGGATGCTATGTTTGTTTTGCCATGTGTGTACCTTGGTTGATCACTTAGACCAATTAGAAGTAGCTAAGATGCAATTTGGAGCAAGGTGTTTATTCAAAGTTTTCTCAAATTTTGCTTTTAAAAATAACCTTCTAAAATCGGGTTTTTGATTTAAATTAACTTTCAATATATAGTTCAAAATCTAATTGGATTTTGGCCTTACTCTTTTTGGCAAAGTTGTAGAGTACTTTTTTTTAACAACTTTCATTTTTACACCAACTTGTGAAAATGCTTTTAAAATAGCTCAAAATGGAATTTTAGTTCTGTTTATTAAGAAATAAAAAGAAAAATCCTTTTATTTTCCTTAGCGGGCCGTCGCTTCCTTTTCGGCCCAACAGCACAGGCCGGCCCGGCCTGCCTCCGCGCCCGCTGTCCGCTCCCGCGCGCCGCGCCGCGCCCGACCAGCCGCAGAGCTCGGCGGCCGTGTGTCCGTACGCCGTCGTCGTCGCTCACCGCGTGGACACCGGTGGCCCCGCGCGCCCCTCCTGTCGTGCCTACACCCGCCGCGCCGCGTCTGCCTCCCTCTCCTCCATTTCATTTGCTTCTCGCTCAGACAGCAGCGCACGCGCTCGCCTCCAGCATCGCCCGCACCAGCGCCTCGCCGGAGTTGGCCGTTCCGGCCGCTCCAGCTCGCCACCGACCGCCCCATCTCGCCCTGTGTTCCTCCTTCACCTCGTGCATCCCGTGCTAGCACCTTATCACCGTGGTAAGCTAGGAGTCGCTGGTAATCACTCACCGGAGCTTGGTCGAGTTCACCGGAGATGCGTCGCTCCGTGGACCTCGCCCCTCCGTCCTCCTTCTCATCTCCTTTTTGTGCACACGAGCACCGCACAAACACGGGGTAGCTCGCCAGCCACTCCCTGCGCCACCTCTCAGCCGGAGCTGGCCGGCCAATGTTGAGCCACGCCACCGCGCCGCCATGGACGCCAGTGAGCTTGCTCCCGAGCTCCACTGGCCATGGTAGGGGTACCGTTAGGTCCGTCTTGTCTCGGGGAAGCCTTCGGTGGTGACCTCACCGCCGGCAAGTTCACCGGCGGCGAGAACCGCCGTGGCCGAGCGCCTCCCCTGCCTTAGTGACTGACCGGTGGGGCCAGGGGGCCCACTGTCAGCCGCTGGGGTGCAAGCCTGGGTAGAGATCCGGGTGGATCTAGCATTTTTGAACCGGGATTTTCAGAAAATAATAAAAGAAATGATTTACAGATTTTGTTTAAAGGCTTTGGAAATTTATAACTTGCTCAAAATGGCTCGAAATTTGTTGAAATAAGTTTTGCTAGGTTTCTTGTGACTAGATCTATCTGCTAAAAATATTGCATGTCAAATTTGTGATACTTTTCTGTGTAGCTTTATTTAAATTGAATAAATACTGATTTCTTAGAAAATGTCTAGTAAATAGAATATACATCAGAAAAATATGGTTCTAGTTTTGTTAATCTCCTTTAGTGATGTACTTTGTAGGAAAAATATATGTCATGCATGTTCTATAGAGAAATATTGATGTGTAGTTCAAGTGCCTTTAATTGATGATTTTTGTTATTTTGATAGAGAGCAAAAATTGTATAAAACATGTGTATGATAATTTTTGTGCAGTGATTGTTTACTGTGTAGAACATAGGAAAAATACCAAATCTGTTGTTTGACACTTTTCATAGTACAAAGTATTTTCCTGCTTAATTATCAACCATAGCTTGTCATTTTTGTGTAGGCTATTTTACTTATCCAAATGCCATGAAAATTTTATGGCAGTCTACTTAGAGTAGTACTATGCTACTTTAATTTTCTCAGATTTTGATGAGCACTAGAAATATATGTTGCTGTGTAGCCCTAGTTTAAAATGAAATAAAATAATCTTCTTTAATGCATGTTTAGTTAATAATGTTTGCTTTGGTGTATCTTTGAAGCATCTTAACTTGCTGTGGTGATTTGACATGTTAGTACAGTGGTTGTCGTAGTAGATAGTAGTACATGTTCTTGGTTGATGTTGACTACCTTGTAGACGAGCTATGCTACTACTATGTTCAATAAAGTTAAACATGGTCATCTACATTTCATGCATCATGATCATTACATGTCATCTCTCCGATGCACCTATGCATTAGCACTTATACATCTGCATCATACAAGATCGCAGGAGGAGTTGCTAGTAGCAGTTCAGGAAGAGCAGACCGGGACAGATCCATAAGAAGTCCAGGCACAGGAGGTGCCAGAGGAAGAGGAGCAAGGAGAGGACTTGCCGGAGTGCGTGGATCATCAACCTAATTCGTTCGAACGAGGCAAGCCCCGGAGCATTCTAAGTCTCCTACTTTATAAAAGCAATTCTTTCTATATATATGAGTTTATATATTGTTGCATTAAGTTGTAGGAGTTGATTGAAACCGTTGATGCATTTATTACTCTCCTTGCCTACCTTATTACCTTTTACCCTGTTAGGTTAGGATCGAATAACTGCTTAGCCTTGCTTAGACCGGTAGCGATCGGTGATACCCAGTCACCTACATTATAGGTGGTTACTGGAAGAGATTGGCTATGGAAAGAATGATATCCTGGAATTAACCATATGTGATGGAGAATTGGAGACTAGACGGAATAGTTGGAGGCAACCATACAGGGTTCTAGGGTGCTGTTAGTTTCCATCTG